AACCAAGAATATATATATGTAGACACACAATAGACACATTTCTATTTGAAAACAGCAAAGAGGGCAAAGAAATACATTATGTTGTCTTCACTGTTTATAGTGATCAATGCTCTGCTTTTTATACTTCCTATGTATTTTAAATGGAACTTTGGATAATTTTATAAATAATAACTACAAGTAATTTTAATTCTCATGTGGCAGTTTTGGAAAATAAGTTTGCTACAGATTGCTGATATTGATGGCCATATAACTAGTAAATACGTCAATCAGTATATCAAAAGTGACTGTGGGATTCCCAGCCCCAACTAATAGATCTACAATGCAACCTCTACACCTAAGGCTCAGGAACAGAGCAGAAAAGGGAACAGAAAGAGTATGAGAGCCAGAGGAGCAAGACACCTGCTGCTCTGCTGCTAGATAATGCATTCTAGTCGTGATAGGGAAGCTGCACCCATGAAATCTCCACAGTATGGTAGGCTGAAAAGATCTGCACAATGGAAAAACTATTTGACACGCCAATGTTTATGGTGGAATTTTCGTGGGGTCCCACATCAAGATAAAGAGCTACGGGCACATAATGGATGCTGTGGGAGGGAGAGTCAGTTTTCTCCAGGGACTAGCTCTCTCTCTCTCTCTCTCTCTCTCTCTCTCTCTCATTTTATTTATTATTTTTATTTTATGTGTACATGTGTATTGTCTGCATGTAGGTAAGTGCACCCATGTCGTGAAATACCTGCGGAGGACAGAAGAGGCCATCAGATTCCTGGTGACTGGAGTTATGAACAGTTGTTAGATGCCATGTGGGTGCTGGGATTTGAACCCAGGTCTTCTACAAGAACAGCCAGTGTTCTTAACCACTGGACCATCTCTCCAGCCCTGGGGACTAGCTCTCTTATAGGTTATCTAATCCCAAGTAGGCAGCCCTAAACACATGTACATATGAGTACCGCTAAATGTGCCGAGTGCATCATATATATATATGAATATACATATTTATAAATGTATGCATGCTATGTAACAATAATCAAAGAGGGCAAGAAACTGAGGCATCAGGGAGGCATAAAAGGAGCTGGATGGGGGACTATGAGGGATGAAAAAGATGCAAATACAATACTCATATATCAAATTCTCAAAAAAAACCCTTTTATAATCAAAGCATCTGTTTTCCAGGGAAGCTACTTAGAATATGGAGGTCCTGTCTTGTTGAAGTGAGACTTTCCCAGCTGTCATTTCACTGAGTCTCAGTTTTGTAGTGATGGGTACATGTAATGCAGTAGTTACTCTTATTATCGTTTAGATTCATAATATAATATTAGTAACCATATGAAAACAGTGTCCTTATCTATTTATGCAATTGGTCTTACACCTCTTTTAAGATTTACCATCCTTGAGGATTTATCCACAGAACAAAAATTCCATTTTGAATCTCTCAGGTATTATATTTTTGTTTCTTTTTATGATTTAAGGATTTTTAAAAAATACTAAATGCAGTGTCTTACGTCTCCCCTCAATGATCAGAAGATCTTTGGCTTACATAACTTTTATGTGTATGATAGTTTAATCAGTTGTAAGGCACAAAATTTACTTGTGTCTAAGTAATAAGTAAATATGCAAAGTTAAAAACCCAAACAAATCTCAATGCAGAGAAATAAAATAAAAGCTTTAAGTGGAAAACATTCCACAGAAACTCATTCATCATTGAAACAGGGGTGAAGGATAGCATGATACTGAGTATACGAATGAAAATAGACTCCTCCAAACAGTCAACCATCATGGACGTTACAAGTACTGAAAGCTATAAAACCAGTGGCATTAATTACACTAATGAAATCACGTTTTCAAACAGAAAAGTGGCGAATAGGATCAGAAAAATCCCATGGAATTGCTTAGCCCAAAGGTGACGTGATCTGCATGTTATATACTCTTTAACAAATATTCTCAACAACAATCTTCAGAGATGTTTAAAAATACGGTGCATGACTTTTTACTATAATCAGCAAATCAGCATTCTATGCATTAGGATATCATAGGAAGTTCCTTATCCTTAGACCTTCATGCTCTATGATGGAAACCTCTTGCTTACCTATCCATTCCACCCATCTGGTATGTTTGCTATTGATTAATTATTCTTTAGAGGGAAGTATTTATATTTATACATTCTATTAGCAATCTCCCAAATTGACACATGTTTAAGATCTGACCGAAATGAAATGCAAAAACAAAGAAACTACTCAACCGAAAGATTGTCAACCCTTTACATTGAAGCTCTTGGAGAAGTTTTCAGTAAATAATAAAGGATAAATCTCATTACATAACTGATACATGAGGAAATTGTCAAATTACTTAGAACAATACAGAGAAAGAGAAGTTCATCTAGGGAAAGATAAGAGTGAATAAGCCTCCAGAAAGAAGGGAGTTTCAACAGTAAAAACAAGGTAAAGCATTCAATTCTTTGTCCAAAGTCTATAAAAATACTTTAAAGTGATTGATGATAAAATCAAGTATGAGGTATGGAAAGAAATTGAGATGATTCTTGCTACAGCTATTGGTGGTGATGCTGACAGTCAAGACTATTAATAGCATATACAGTAGACATTTCCGAAACCTTGAAAAACAGAATTACAAACACATGTTTATAAATCATACATATTTGGTGACGTGTTACCTTATGTCATGGTCATGAAATGAATTTATAGAGGATGAAATTATGGTTGCAAAGTTTGGGTGTTTAGAAAACATATCTATTTCCTTGAATGCTTGTGTAAATTCCCAGGACAGTAGTAAGTAAGCTGTAAATTCCTAACAAAGTGATTGTTCACAGAATGAGTTCATTTTAGGCACGTGCTGTAAACTGAGACAACAGAGCCCATGTGAGATATGAGCCATCCATCCCTGTAAGTATATAAAGCTTTTCAAAGGCTGGATGATATTCACACTTCAGAAAGATCTTTTTACTCCTCAACTGAAACCTCAGCTCTCAACACCATGTGCTGCAACTACTACGGAAACTCCTGTGGAGGCTGTGGATACAGCTCTGGCTATGGATATGGCTCTGGCTGTGGATACAGACCTGGCTGTCTATATGGCTCAAGACATGGCTTTGGCTGTGGCTATGGCTCTGGCTATGGCTCTGGCTGTAGTTACAGCTCCAGCTGTGGATATGGCTCAAGATACGGTTCTGGCTGTGGCTATAGCTCAAGATATGGTTCTGGATGTGGCAATGGCTGTGGCTATGGCTCAAGATATGGTTCTGGCTCTGGCTATGGCTGTGGCTATGGTTCCAGGTATGGCTGTGGGTATGGCTCTGGCTACTGTAGCTATGGACCATCTTGTTACAGAAAATGCTATTCTTCTTGCTAGTAGTCCTCACCACAGTTCCTTCTGTGCCCTGGAAACGAACACTCCAAGAAGAAGCGCAACTGGAATCTTCCCAACTCTTTACTTCAGACCAAAGAAACAACTGATTATTGTCTGCTGACATGAAACACATTAAAATATGTGTTTTCTCCTGATACAGACTGAGTGGTTCCATCACATCTGAAGGAAGATTTTATTTTATTTAATATTCAAATTTAAATCCTTACAACTTT